AGGAAGGAAGGAAGGAAGGAAGGAAGGAAGGAAGGAAGGAAGGAAGGTAGGAAGGAAGGAAGGAAGGAAAGAAGGAAGGAAAAAGGACTATCACAATGCAAATGTTATTTGCAGTCAATTTCAAAAAATCATGATTAATAGAGTGTGGGTCTGGGAAAAAAATAAGAACATCAAGGTGATCTCTAATAAATGGCTTCACATACTAAATTAGTAGGAAAAATCTATGAGGCAAAATTTACTTTTTATCTTACATCGATTTTGCTTGGTAGGATTGCACTTAAAAATAGGATAAAACACTGCAACTGGAATAGAAATCTCTAAGCTATCTTCAGCAGGGAAGGACAATGATCAAGTTTCCTCCATAGAAATAAAGACCTTAACTATACCTTCTCAGACTAACACAAAGTATGATGGGCTCCAAATGAAGCTCAATGCAGACTTAGGTTGCTTTCATATCTTGGCTATTGTAAATAATGCTGCAATAAACACTGAGTCCACCCATAGACAAATGGATAAGGAAGATGTGGTACACACAGACAACAGAATATTATGCATTATTATCATTAAAAAGGGGGTGAGATCTTTCCATTTATGACAACATGGGTAGACCTAAAGAGGGTATGATGCTAAGTGAAATAAGTCAGACTGAGAAAGACAAATGCCATATGATTTCACTCATATGTGCAATCTAAAAAACAAGACAAATGAATGAACAAACAAACAAAAAGCAGAATCAGATCTATAAACACAGAGAACAAACCAATGGTTGCCAGAGGGAAGGAGGGTGCAGGAGTGGTGGGCAAAATGGGTGAAGGGGAGTGGGAGATACAGGATTTCAGTTATGGAATGAATAAGTTATGGGACTAAAAGGCACAGCATTGAGAATATAGTCAATGATATTATAATAACATCATATGGTGACAGACAGTAGCTACTTGAAATGAGAGAACATAACATATACAGAAGTTGAATCACTGTGTTGTACGCCTGAAAATAATATCATATTGTGTGTCAACTATACTCAAATACAAAAAATTTATTTTAAAAAATGAAGCTCAAAGCAAATCTGGCCCTTGAGAATTTTAGGTCTAATGTGGAAGGAAAAACTCACACATACTAAATATGTACTTGGTAGATAGTAGCTGCTGAAAAATATTTGTAAATTTAGTAAATCAAAGAATATAATTAAATGCTAAAATCCTATGTGTAAACTCTTCTTTGAAATAAAGTAGTCGTGCAGTGTTTCAGAAGGAAATGAGGTTGAGAAGGAAATGAGGTTTCTTTGTAGCCTTAAATAATAAGTAGGATTTGTTTAGTGGAGATAATGACGAACAATGTGGTATGCAAAAATATGGAATGGAACTTAATACACGAAGGGTGTGATACATGCAGAAAGATGCTATGCTAAGGAAATTTATGACTGGCAGAAAGACAAAATGTTCCAGGGTAACATCAGTAGGTCTTCTGGCAAGCAAGAGTACTTTTAAGAGGTCTAAGCCATGGAAATAAACTTCTATTTTATGACACTTTGAGTGTGAGAGCTTACTGGATAAATTTATATGCCTTTAACTGAGAGCATGTCCTGGCTAGGAAAAAGCAGGATCTCAACTTACAAGGCAGTTTTCCAAATGTTATATATTAAAAATATTTTTACTTTATATTCAGAAATAAAACACAACATCTGTTATATAAAACAAGGGAAAAAAAAGAGGAGAGATATTTTCTGGATATTCCTCATTTTCCAATCGAGATCCACCCCCTATACCTTTTCTATCCTGGGCATAGTCCATGGGCTCTCTAGCCCTCTGGTTCCTGGGTGTGTTCAGTCAATGGGAAAGAGAGGCTGTAGACTGGAAGGCTAGAGGAAAGAGAGGTCCCTCTCTGTTGGCCATGGTGTAGCAGTGGCTAAAGTCTTCTACTCTAGGTCCACAGCTCTGTAGGCACCTATCTTCGAAGGTCACTAGGTTCCATTAACTAGTGTCTCCACTTGACCTTTCAGACATAGGACTGAGGCTAGTCTTGTGGTGCTTCATCATGCCTTTCTGCTTAACCTCAACCCTGCCCACAACTTTTGTAAATAGTACCTCCGTTAAATAGCACCTCTCTTTCACCCCTTTGAGAGTGCAACCTATTTCCTTCTGGGACCCTGACTGACAACAGATATGACCCGAAAACTTTACAAAGCCGATGGCAATTTCAAAGTATCCCCCCTCAGTGCCTAGTACAGTGTACAGGGACAGACACAAAGCAAGCTCTCAATAAATAATTGCTCAAGGAATGAATGAGTAAATGTAGTTGGAGTTCTAAAATGGTTTTATGGTTTTTAGAAAAGAAAGTCAGCCATCATTATCTCAAATTGCTTTTGTAAGGCAGAAAAAGTTTTATGTCATCACTCTATGATGGCAATAGTGATTTTATTTGGGAATTCTGAGAAAGTTTATAATATGTTAATATTATATTAATTTACAGTATTATACTATTATATAATAATATATAATATAACACATTACATATAATATAT